AATAGTTGTTATCTTGTATTATATAATTATATCAATTGTTCATACAACATACATATAGTCAGTGTTAAGTTAAAGTTAATGTAAGACTTAAGCACGTGTTAAGTTACAATTAATAAAAGAAATATAATATGTAAAAAGTTGAATTATAAATAATAAGTCTACCAATAATAAATAATACGTTAGTGTAGAACATAAAACAGGTACCTACTTATTTTAATTAAGAATCTTATGTTTTAGTAAAAATAAAACATTTAAGTAAGATTGGTATTTTGTTTCTATGTTAGGAAGAACCTAGACAATCTTTTTAGCTAACACAAAAGGTGTGTACAAGTACAATACACTTAGTCCAGTAAGAAATGTTCACACTGAGGTAGGTATAGGTACTTACTAAAGTAAAAAATAAAAATAACTGTGTAGAGATCACATTCTACATTAATTTATTGAATTATAATAACATAATAATATTGTTTAATATTAGTTAGGTACCTTTTCCTACTAAATAGTTATTTGAATTTGTTTAAATTAAATAATATAATATAATATTTAAATTAATATTATATTATTAAATTAAATTATTTGATAAATGATAAAAAAAAAAAAGCGGGCAATTTGAAATGGGCCAATGAGAACGTGGTATACATAAGACGCTCTGTGGCGTCCTGGGTTTCCCAATACGCCGACGGGATGGTATTTTTATTTAACAAGAATAGTAAAAAACTAGAAACAAATTAAGAATAAAAAAAATTTTAAAAAAAGTATTCAATAAAATAGTATTCAATAGAAAAAAAAGTATTTAAAATACCATTAAAATACTTCAAAATAAAAAGTATTTAAAAAAGTATTTGAATACTTTTACTCAAATACTTTACAACACTGACAAAAACGCATACAATACAATATAATAATAATAGAGCAAGCACAAAATAGTTTATTTATTATAGTAAAATAAGTAGGTACACCTATGAAGTATGTTTTCAACTTATTAAAAACGCACTTTAATGCCGGGTTGCATGAACGTTCATTAAATATTTAATGAACCAATAGTACGCTATTGAATGAATAAAAAGTTATTCATCCACTAAATGTTAAATAAACGTTCAATAACGTTATTGAGTCATTAAACTATTGGTTACCGGTCAATTAAACTAATGATCCGATTTCGGTTGAATAAAAATTTATTCGTTCATTAAATAGTAGTATACAGTACCTACGTCCGTTACTACCTATGCGTCTTGTCAATGCGTTACACCACTTACACACTCTTACATGTTACATTCTTGAATTTTTCTTGCTTACCACGTATATAATTAATTATTAATATTTAATACATCGCAAAGTAATTAAATACACTTTGAAAAATGACTGATCCCGACTCATCTAATTCTGATGATGAAATGGTGTTGGATGTATTATTTTATTTACCCAGACCAAGATTCTTTCGGGATAGGTCAAACCCATTGGAGGATTTCGACGATTTTGATTTTAAAAGTAGGTTTAGGTAAGTAACTAATAGCTATAATAACCAATAAGTTAAATAAAATGTAAATCGTACCTAATTTGATACACAATAAATGCATTTTTTTACAATAGACTATCAAAGGAAACTTTTGTATTTTTATTACATTTAATTGGAAACGATTTGCGACGTTCTACAAATAGAAGCTTCGCCATTTCTCCAGAAATACAAATTTTGGTGACTTTAAGATACTATGCTACAGGTACCTTTCAAGTATGTATAGTGTAACCTACATCAAAATGTATAGTACCTACCTATATTTTTATTTGTTTTTCTAAATGTAACGTTATATATTATGGTAAAGAATTTGAAATGCACAAATACTGACTGTTTTTAAGGAGTTATATATAGGCATTAGTACATACATTAATAATGTAGGTCGAAAGTGATGTCTGGTTCGCGTACATCGACGCGGCGGCGGCTAGTTATCTCCCTTTTTTGTTATCATTATAAAATATAATATATATTATTTATTATTTAATCATATTATTATTTAATTATATTATATTAGTAACGAATGTTTTTTTTTAAACTTATCCCAATTTTTTTCTTTGATTTAAATAATAAATTTGTATAAAATTTTTATGTAAATTCAGAATCTATACGAATAAATTAAATATAAATATATTGAGATTATAAAATACTTGTTACACAGTTCTCAGGTACAGTTGAGAAAAAACTGCTGCGCCTTAATCTAAACCTGATTTGACATCACTAATTTAAATATTTTGAAGTTTAATTTTCAAATAGGTATATTATTGTATTGAATGACAATTAAAAAATATTGTTTGCTTATAATTTGGTACTTTTAATTTATAGACGTCAATATGCCAAAAACACCTGCCAAACTTGCAAGAGAATACAGAGCTTGGAAAAAATTATTGAAACAACAAAAACCGCCATCACAAATAGTATCACAACACAAACAAGAATATACGGCTCGACAGAAGGCTTTGAGAAATGCTGTCGCCACTATTGGAGAGAATGAAACACTGACAAATTACTTTGGATTACTTGAATTAATCAGAGTGAATCCAGACAATCCAAAACTCAGTTTCAGCAGAGACGATGGTAACATTTAGTATAAATATTTATCACAAACGAGTGGCCAAGCTGGACAGGCTGGTTCCTGTTGAAAATGCTCAGGAAAGAATTGTCGTTCAAGCTGATGTGCATCAGACTAATTCCTCTCAATGTGCAGTGAATCCGACCTCAACTACAACCACAAGGTCTAGGAAATCATGTACACAGCGGTGTCGTGAATATAGACAATGAAAGAAGTCGATGGCAGATGCCAATGCTATTGTCTTTCAACGACCAGTTGTCTCTTCACTTATGAATGTGAGTACAAGTATAAAGAGTACAGATATACAAGTTAAAATATTCCACGACACATCGACACAAGTCTACTGACACACTACTGACATATTGAATCCCATCATACAATATTGTATTTGGTAGTTTTTCATGAGACTTGGTTGGGTGACAACGAGCAAATCAGTTTACCAAAATTCAACTCCATCATCCAGTGTAAAAGAGTTCATGTTCGGGCTGGAGGAGTTGCTATCTACCACAGCTAAAATGATACCGTGTATGTCCTCATACCACAGGAAGGATTGTCCATTGTACAGTCAACATCAAGTGCAGCTGTGACAGTAGATATCGGTTTCATTTGCATTTCTGTGTGCCGTGCGATAAATGGACAGATAATGAATGAATCTCTACAACAGCAACTGAATGAGTAATGACCGATATACTTCAGGAACAACGATAGATGCTGTATTTTCTCGTTATCTCGACACAATCAAGTCATGAATGTACATATTTTATTTTAGTTACCATAAACCAATTATATCCTCTGTAGTAGCATTTTGTTTATATAGCATGTTATTCTATGGTAGTAGCTATTGCACCATCAACACAAAATATACACGCTATCAAAGCACCTGCCACCTAGTAATGTACAGATTACAGAAATAAATTAAAAATAATATTCATAATATCCAGTATTGTACGTTATTCTATAAACATTTCATTTCAATCATTACCAAAACAATAAAATATAATCTAGGACAAGGAGTTTTACCTCAAATATGCTCACATGGTGCTCACACTTTTTTTGGTTTTTGTGTCTTCACGGACGTCTACACTTACACACGATAATCTATTATATTATTAAAAATATTAATTATTATTATATTTATTAACCTACCTGTATACCTATATTATATTTTATATAAATCAAACGAAAAAAAATATGGAGTTAAAATCAGATTATTCGTTTGATTTAGCTAGGTTAATAAAATATATGATAATAATTAATATTTTTAATAATATAATAGATTTGTGTATTTTTTTTAAATTTTGTTCCAATACCAAACCTAATATTCTATCAGTTGAATGACTGAAAGAAGTTTCACTCGGCACTCCATCTGCACATACTCGTTTCACTCAGTGTTTTTTATTGATCAACATTTTTGCTTCAACAATATGACATCTGCATATTATTATCTTTATATATTATAAAGTTTATTTATTATTACTATATTTTAATTTCTAAATTTCTAAATTAGTCTATTCATATATTATACAAATATTTCTCACATTAATTTGTGGTCCCGTAATTTCGCTCAGTTGATCGGGTATAATATTGACCATCAGGCATCAATTGTCAACAAAGAAAAAAAGAATTTGTTTTCGGGTGGAGGGCAACAATTATTACTTATTTTGATATAATATTATGTTGACGGACCTAGAAAATTGTCAATATTTCCCCCATAAAAAAACATAAAAAACTATACATACATATTGGTTATACCAAGGATTTACCTTGTAGATAATTCGGTGAGAAATTTCTAGAAAACCAGATTTCCCTCGCAAAGGAACTTCTAGAAACTTCCAGAAACCAGTCACGGAGGTAACGCCGAAGCGGTCGTAACCACACTCCATAGATACGTTAAACGGTTGATAACCCGACTGATAACAAGCTGGTATTATTGCGACACATTTGAGTTCGAAATCGACACAGCGAGCTGCAACAACAATACGACGCGGATCTTTGTAAACAATCATCAGATTTCGTTACTATCTGCATTATTTTTCTATTTCTACCGGAACACAACTGTTAAATTCCATCCATCGGCGTCTGACGGAGATTTGATGTTTCTGGAGCAGACCGCGACTGGACTTCGCACGACGAAACGTCTTGTTGTCGACAGGACATCAACGGGAACAGCTGCTAATCGTTGTCGGCGGTCGTGAATACCGGACCTGTGTGGACGGAAACGACACGGCAGAGTCGAAGAAGACGACGGCGGTGGTTTCCGAAAAGGCGATCTTCCCCTTCCGAGTGCCGCCGTCAGGACAGTTGCCGATCGTCGATCACTACTGTTTGTGCCGTCGCCACTGCCGAGAATCGCGTTTCGCCCCTTATCCTCTACCGCCTCTGCAAGGTCCCGTAGGTCGGGCCACGGCCTCTGGCGACATGTTCAAACGTGCGTTTCCGTCTTCCGACGCTATGGCCACCAACCAGGCGGCGGCCGGATACATCCCGACGCCACCTCCGCCTGCCGGATACATCCCGACGCCACCGCCGCCAGCCGGATACGTCCCGACGCCGCCTGCTGGATACGTCCCGACGCCGCCAGCCGGATACGTCCCAACGATGCCGACCGGATACATCCCGACCCCGCCGCCGGTTGGATCCATCGCAACGCCGCCCACCAACGTCCCGTTCTCACTGCAGCAGTTTGGCCACCAACAGCCGCCCGGCTTCACAGCTTTTACGCCAGACTACCAACATTTCCCGTACACATTCTCGTCGATCACGCCACCAGCGTACAGCTGGGCCAACACCAACAGCACCCACGTCATGAAGTGTGTAACCGCATTCCCCACAACACAGTTTGTTGTAGTGATGACCAGACGTCATCTAACAGCCGACCTTATATTATACTACTTTTTCGTTACAGGTTCACAGGATCAAGTAATCCACTGCCTTTGGATACATCCACATACCATCCCAATAATTTTGGGTCCGTGCCGAAACGCAAAATCGATTTGGACTCCGAGTAAGTGTTTCATACAATTTTGTTTATACATGATTGAGGAGCCAAAACCATTGCCATTGCCTAGAATTCTTTCGCTGAATATATTATATAGTATTATATATTTTATCGTGTGAAAGCAAGTTGTATACTCATTTAAATCCTGCATACAATGTTTGAAATTACAAGAATAAATATTTTTCAGACTTACACAGCCACCCAAAATGCGCATCACTGAAGAAAAAGTATCCGCAAGTTTACGGGACATGCATATCAGCAGTGAATTCAAGCCTCATAATTACTGCGTTAGCAGTGCCATCAGTGAAATGGATGTGAGTATTTATTTGGGTTCTGTAATGTGAAAAGTTGAAAACTTTTTTTTGATTTAGACCGTGGAGAATCCTAGTCTCATGGAGACTGCCAACATTCCTGAAACTGCCAAAACAGATTCTCAGACTACATTAGTCATGTGTGAAGAATTGCGTAAACTTCACAAAATCGATTCTATCATACCTCAACCACTACTCACTAAAGTGTATGTATATGTATTAAATACAATATTTTATATTTATTTCTGTTATCAAAATTTATTTCTTTCATACTTTAGAGAAAGACCAACCAACGCTGTTGTTGTATGGAACAATAAGCCTTTAGTGGAATTAGTCCGGTCTTTCTCTCAGTACCAGGAACCCAAATCGACTGTTGTGATAACCGAGATCACTGATGAAGAAGAAAACGAAATTAACAACAGAGATGTAATGTGTGTTGAAGAAAATAAGTAAGTTTAACCAATAATTAAACGCAGTAATAGGTCTGATATTTTACAATATTACTGTCCATATCTTAATTTGTGAAATTATGTCTGTAAAAGTCTACCAGGTACGCACAAAAGATACTTACACATACTATACTAGTTCAGGTTTTTATATTTAAAACTCAATTAAATTGCCTAAACAAACAACGCAAAACAGTGTGTTAGTTTGGTGATGCACCTTTTGTCCTTTTACAATAAGTTACTATAGTAACCGTAATATAATAAAGTATATTCATCGCTATATTACAAAGCCACTATTGGATTTCATGGGCATTTTAGTACCAAAATTCTGAAGTAAAAAGTTTGATTTGTACAGGATGTGCATTCTAACACTTAAAAATAAATTATAAAAATGATTTATTATTCTAATTTTGTTTTATATAATGTAATACGTATAATAATTTTAAATAAAAAAATGTTGCAGTTGTATCGCCGTTGAAGATGTTAACATGGAGCTCTGATGGGACATTGATCTGGGTTTGACTCACGGTAGGCGAGTTAACTTACTGTCAAATAAATAACATTTGAAAAAAAAAAAACAAACAATTAATATAAATTAATATAAGTTTTAAATGTATTATTTTTTAATTTTAAATAGTTGTAAGAAGAAAACATTTTTTTTTTTTTTTTGTTATTCTGTGTGATAATATTAAATACTGTAAACAAACATATTATAATGTAAGATTATCTACTCATTTTAATATATGTATATTTATCTACTTTTTTTCAATACAAGTTGTCCTAAACAAAAATTAATGCGTGAAATGTTAAGCAGCAAAACGTGTTAGTTAACATAATATATGCATGGCAAAGGTTAAATTGGTATTGTTATTTTTGATTCTTTTTCCTTCTAAATACACCTCAAAAATATTGTTATGAAGAAGAAAACAGTGGCGTATGCAAAAACCTTTTGTTCATAGTGCCTTGTTTTAAGTACCAGGAAAAAATGTTTGAGAAGCAATCAAATTAGTAAACCTTTTTTTCAATTATTAATTTCATGTTAAAAATTCTGTTTTTGTTTTATAGCTGAGATGGCAGCATTAAAATTTGATAAATGGTTATGCACCAAATCAAGGTGACACTGAAGCACAGATAAAATCATAATTTTTACTTAATCGAAGGTAGAATAATTAATAAAAAATACCAAATGTTTGATAACAGCTTAATTATAATCCCTCAAGACCAAGTTAAAAAAGTTTTTACTATAATGAAAATTAAAAACTTGAAGTTTTATCTAAAATAAATGCAGTTGTCAATTTATAGAACAACAAAAATATATATTAATACCCATAAATAGCATTACTTAAAATAAATAATGTAATAAAAACCAATGGTGATGTTAATTGGAAATAATTATTCAGTCTTTCCTCTATGAATAAACTATGAATATCATCTCAAAATAACAATTGCATAAATAAATATAAGTGGAATATAGTAAAGGTAAATAAATAAACTCTAGTGTGTTATATACTTACAAGTATTTTAAACTTAATCAGAATTTTTTGTTAATGCTACATAAATCATGATCTAGTAAATAATATTGTCACTAATGTAAAATTAAAGAACATTTTTAAATTGTTAACAGTAGAAAAGTTTTAATACAATTATATAACAATAGAAAATAATTTTTGTTTTCAATGAAACAACATTAAAATATAATGATTTTTTTTTTTAAATTATTACTTAGAATTAAGTTTTAGTGTTTGCACTTGTAACACAATCACACAACTCGTACAAAAATCCTAACGCTATGTAACTCCAGACATAATTGTCATACGCCACTTATGTTAGTATCATGGTGGGGGGGATTTTCTTATTACTTACTATTTAAAATACTTAATAATGATGTTATTACCATCCTGGTGTGGTGTTGGCCAGTCGTCGCATTCGCCTAGAATATATACAATTTTTGGTATTAGCATTGAGTAATTAACAGATTTATTTAGCTAAAAACTAAAATGGAGTAGTTATTAGGTTCTTGCCTAGTGTTCCTGTCTTGATCTCTAATCTTCTTTTCCATTTCTGCATCTGTCAATGTCTCCAGGAATGGACTCCATTGGTCGGCATCTGATGGTGGTCTAAATGGAGTCTCAACGACTGACAGTGGGGCCTCACTAATAAAAAACCATTTTATACATAACATCTTAGATTAAGTAATTAAAAGGGTTTACCTGAAAGCGTAGGTACGCTGATGCCAGCTTAATTGTCCTCTAATGGAGTATGCAATGGCAGTTACAAATTCTCCGCCAAGCCCTAGTTCAGCACATAGTTTCATGGCAAACTGTTCAGGTGAATTATCTTTTTCGCCCATGTCCCATTCAACTTGATCTACTAATGATGTATTGCCTACATGGATGTTTAACTGAAATACAGAAAACACTATAAACATTCCACATTTGTGTTAAAAACTAAAAATAAATATAAAATATATTTACCTTGATAATAACTCTTTGGTCATGCTGTTCATCTAAAATATTATCATTAGTAAATGCTTCAATTTGCTGACGTATAGATTGTGCGATGGCTGGTACAAATGGCAAAGGGTTTAAATCTAAATCGTCACATAGCACTTCAGCAAACTGCTCTGGAGTTATTAAACTTTCTGAAAAAAATAATTAGTTTAAATTATGCGCCCATGGATAAAAACAACCCCATTTTATTGGTTTACATACCATTTTTGTTCCAAGTAAATGTATCTCTCAATTTTTGTCCTTCAATTTCCATATCGAGTCTGATTGGAACCAACAATTCAGAAAAGTTAGCATTCTCGTGAATGTTTGCTGGATCAGTGTCATCATAGCTAAAATTAATTATTATTAATTACTTAACATTGTATTAATTAATATCAAGTAAAATACTCACCATAATGGGAACGTCCTGACTTTTTTTTGTATAATTCTATTACGGTTGATGGGTGTAGCCTGAGGAACAGCGTCCAAATGTGAACTGTTTGGTAATGATGGAACCCATGGAACTGATTTTTTTCCTTTAGATTCTCTATAATCGTAAAATAGATTTAGTCATTACTTTTTAGTAATATTACTTAAGACGTAGAAGAAAGTGAACAAGTAAATAGAATTGATTATTTACATGTTTATAAAGAATACATTAAGTTACTAAAAAATATTCTGTTAAAGCCCTGTCAATCGAGTTATTTTTAAAGAGTCGAGTTTAGGCAAATCTTTTGTTCCTTGCTGTCACTGCTCGTCTTTGTGTGTGTAATCAATTATCATTATTCATTAGTGTGTGTTGTGTGTATATTTTCAATCAATTACCCGCATGCACATGTAATTTAGTCATTAGATCAAAATATTTAAAGCCAATTTATGGACCTGGAATAGCAATACCGCCTGACAAAAATTTAAGTACTTACAATGGTTTAATTAAAAAAAGTAAAGACGTTTGAATGCATAAACAAGATTACATCAGAAAACTTCTTCAGTTTTAGTAAATTCTTGACAACAATAAACATTTTCAATTTTATGTATTAAAAACTATTAAAAATATTGAATATATGCACTGACCGATACAAAATCCATTAATAATAAAATAAATCACTTTAATAGCAGCATTATAATAAAACATTTTTTTTTTATTTACATAATCTTATATACAGTCTGTACAAATTATGGACAGTTAGCATATTTGATAAGGGTTAAAAATAAAACATGAGTATGTGAGTAAGAAGCCACCCATTAGTGGCACTCTTTTTTAAGCGACGCCTGGGGTTGCCAGGTAATGTTTGGGTGGATAGGTTTTTAATGAGTGGGTTTTGGTGGGTTTGTACTTTGTAGCAGGGCATGAAAGAATTTGTAGAAACGTATAGCTTCTTCTGTCACGGTTTTAATTGACAGGTCATTATGTATAGTGTAATTCAAAACAAAGGGTGGAGCATTAGTAATTTTCCTAAGAGCAATATTCTGTAATCGCTGAATTTTGTTAGTGTTGGACGCTTCTGCTGTACCCCAAAGTTGGAAACCATATGTACATAGAGGTTTGAGTAGGTAATGTTTTATATATAAGAACTTTAATTTTTAAACTGGAGTGTATGTTGTTTGTGAGTAGTGTTTGTAGTCTGCGAAGATTTAATGCAAGTCTTTTTATACGGATATGGCTATTTGAAGTGAGGCGCTTATACAAGTTTAGTCCTAAATATCTAATTGAGTCAGATGTGTGAATATAATAAAACATACTTAGTAATATAGGCTGACAGACCTTTCCACTCAGAAACGTTTTTTCATATACATTTAATTTATAACACTAAAGGTACATTTCTGTCAGTCGCTTGGGTCGTTTTAATGAAAAATTGACAGGGTTTGCCAGGGACTTAAAATGCATACGCAGTAGCATCATTTTAGTGTTTAATAAGAGGGTACAAGTTTTAATCAGCTCCCATATAATTTTGAAAAACCTGCTCGTTTTGCTCACAAGTATTTTTTCATTTCCATAAATACAATTTTTATCTTACATAGTTTTACATTGTCTCATAGGTAAACATAGCCTAACTTTACTGCAAAAACCATGTGGGGACCTAAAAAAATATAGTAGTTACCAGTGGCGGATTTGAGGGGGGGGGCGACGTGGCGATTATACCCCCCCTCCAGAGATATTTTTTTTTACTTGAATTTTAGCGCCATATGATATAATGAATATGTAATTTATAAGTCATAACTATAACTTCAAACTTAATAAATGATACAAAAAATGTATTTTAGCATACCATACTATAGGTACATTGATTTTTAATACTATATTAAATAAAATTTAGATTCAATACTGATACTTATTATTACCTTGTAATTAATGGTTCAGTTGATGTTACAGATACAGCTTTGTAACGTTCATCATTACCATCAATAATATCTTCAACTTCAGATGCTCTTAATAGTGATACACTAGACGCCAGGCAATGAGCACTTAAACCTGCATAAATAACATTAAAATATATGTAATTAATAAATAATAATGTTCAATTTCACCAAAATGTGTAATAAAATAATATTGGGAAGTGCATGTTAATTTATAAAATAAGTGTAAAGGAATAAAGCAAATAAAATTCAATAGAAAATGTTACAGTAGTCTAGATAATCCAGACTTGATGGGACTCTATCCAGATTAAACGGAATGATGTTGAAAATAGCTCTAAAATGAGTTGTAAGTCTCAAAGGTATTTTAAATAACTTTTGTTATAATAAAAATCAATAAAATATCAATAATGAAGGTATTATAGAAAACCATCAGTGTTAATAAAATTATTTTTATATAGGTTCAATAGGAACTGTTTATAATGACATTCAAGGGATTACCTAGTCATCAAAATTAGTCATAATAACTGAAAGTAATTATCTCCAATAAAATGATAAAATAAATTTAAAAACTAGATTATATATTTATATGAGTATAATATTGTACAATTAATGTTTCATATTTTTATCACTAAATCTTGAATTCAATAAATCAAGTACAGTAGAACTTCGATTAACCGTCACTCTCTGTTATCCGTCATCGGTCACCGCCGAAAAAAAAAATAATTAGGCGATTAGACGATCGCGATAAACTCGTGCCCAACACAGTAACTATCAAGTGTATAAAAATAGTTTGTAATATGTACATATCCAATATAAGCGATAAACTTGATAAACAAACTATAAACTTATGTGTGTATGTATTGTACTATGTACAATTTAATCAGTGAAATCAGTTGCACAGTGAAATATTATCAACGTCAGAAGTAACAGATTGGTTAGAAAATGATAAGCAGGATGGAGGATTTGAAATTTTGAATGATGAACAAATTATTTTGAATGTCACTGCCGTTGAAGAAGAAGAAATTGATGAGGATGTCGAAGATTCAGGTGTTGACTTAAAACCACTAACTAGCTATTCAGAAGCAGAAGCGATGTTATCAAAGTGTATTGATTGGTTTGAAGTACAAGAAGAATCAAATGCTACGCAAGTCTTACTTCTACGTCAAATGCGTAATAATGCTGCTAAAAAAGTTAGAGAATCAAAAAAACAAACTAAAATGACAGATTTTTTTTTATAATATGTGTGGTATGTATGTTTATAATTTGTTACAATGTAAGTATTTTTTTTTTTTTTTAAAGTACACACGTAAAATATGATAAATATATAATATAAATATAAAATATAATAAATGTGTGTATGTATATGTATTTACACGTTTTTTTTGCAAAATGTCCGTTAACCGTCTATTCGATTAAGCGTCATAGCCCCGGTCCCGACAGTGACGGTTAATTGAAGTTCTACTGTACTTATATATTGTAAAAACTCTGTTATTTTAGTTTGTACATTGTTTGTCAAAAAACTATGCAGAATTTTTTTTTCAATTTCTTTAAACTTTGTTTTTAGTATTAAGTATTATCTGTTGTTATAATATTTTTGATAAAAGTTAAATATAGTCATTGTCGATGAAAGCGTCAATGATTACAACCAAAAATAACTGTAATAACGTCCGTATAGTTATTATACAGACCCCATAATAATTGATACAAATTAGTACACACAATATAGGATTGCTGGGACCTAAAGTTAGGTTTCTGTTGTATCCGTGTATAAATTTATGTGTATAGTATAAATAATTGACTGTTTCCGAATCAAAGACTAGCAAAGATCAGATAAGTGATTCTCTACTCTACTATATGTAATTTTGTTTTAATTAACTGTTAATTAATAGTCAAACAAGATATATCTACAAATAAATATTAAAATTTAAGCTGACAATCTTAGAAGCGTGATAAAGAAAAGAGAATAAAACAGTATTCTTCCTGGACACTATTAAATATTACCTACATACAATACTGTTTGTACAACAGGTCTTTTGTTCAATATCTCATCCTCATTTGATAGTTTTTTAGTATTAAAATGTTGAAAATAATTCTCATTTAGGTACCCATAGGTAATTGGCAAGACGAGTGCAATATGATACATAGTATCATTCCGTAAAAAACAATTAGGTACTTACCCAAATCAATTAAACGTTTCCTCTCATCGTTCGTAATGGTTCTGCGGAACATGCCCGGATACCGTTTGTACAAGGAACCACGGAACAGTCGCAAGTAATTGCCGACCTGAAGTAGGTATGAAAAAAAAAAGAAATTATAAAAAGACCATCAAAAGTTTGTATTTCTAAGCGGCATTACGGGGAAAATTGTCGTCTTACTTCGGATCCAATGCAGTAGTATTCGCCATTCTCTTCAACTTGGAAACTGATCGGCTTGTCACCGTACGTCCGGAGTGCCATTTTCCGTCGGGCCACAGATACACGTCAGTTACAAAGAGGTCTGTGGTACCAAAAGTTCTCGAATCAAACGAACAACATGGAGAATACAAAAGTACAAATATTAATATCGGCAAACACGAATGATGACACCGAACCGTAGAAACAAGTGTTCGAAACTTCGAAATTGACGAGTCTTGACTAGACAGAGTACAGCCGTATAGTTGAATCTCGGCCCGGTCCGGTTTGTTTATTTGTTTACGATTTGTTCCGTTTGCACGATTGATTATTCTAAGACCGTGATTATCACTGTATCCGCGCCTTAGCAGTGCAGCCAGCGTGGCGACGACATAAATAACCGGGACGAAAACTTATCGTATCGCATTAGCCAACGCCCATCAGTCGACAGATGGCGATACCTAATACGCGGGGGCGCCGCCACGGTTTAAGATCTAATATTATTTGTTATTTATAACAGTGCCTTAGCCAGAGCCTAGAGGGTCAGAGGGAGGGGGTCCTGAAATATCAAATAGGATATTCGAATGTGGATGGCATGACGCATGAATCATTACTAGTTTCTTGCATCTACCATGATAGAAAGCTCTATACTTATATAAATAGGTATGAAAACCGTTATAAAACTACTGGTTGTAATACTATGGTTATTTTTATATATATATATTTTTTTTTTGTGCATGTTTACACGATAAGTAGTTGAAATAATGCTTTGATTTTCAACTTCAGTATCTTGATTGATGGGAAAGTGAATATTGTCGGTGCATTACGGAGGTCCAAATCCCAGTAATTTTCAAAAGCGCCGAGAACAAAAAACAAAAACTTAAGGAACGAAAACCAGGAATTTTTACCCAAAATCGGTTTTCGACTAAATCGATATTCGATTTGGTTTTTGGCGTAACAATGTAACTCCAAAACAAATGACCGTGGATATATGAAATTTCCACTGGTTGTTAATATTAGTATTTTCAATACACGCTAAAATACTGACTGATGTTGACGAACATTTTAGATTCTGAGCGGAGCAATGAATGTATTGGTTTTACAATGATGTGTGTTTTTTTTTTTTATATTTTTGTGTCTGTCATCACGTTTTAGGACAGTAAAAGGGCTTGGATTTTCTTCATCAGTAGCTTTTCTGATAGGAAAGTGAATCTAGTTGGTACTTTGGGGGGTCAAAAGTATAAATTTCCTAGTAGTTTTCACAAGCGCCGGGAAAAACAACATAAAATTTAAGGAAAAACGGGAATTTTTACGCAAAATTGGTTTTCCAAAAAATCGATTTTGGTTATTGGTGTAACTCTAAAACAAATGAACGTATATACATGAAATTTTCACTGGTTGTTTATAATTGCATTTTCTATACACGATAACATTTTCAAAATTATTTGATTTATTTTGAACTGTTTAGGGACATTTTCATTTTCCATTTTTTTATAGTTTTTTTTCTAAAAATATCAATAAAATTTTATTTGTTGGTTGCCAAAGCTTGAAAATTTAATAGAAGGCTCCTAATATGTTGTTTCAAAGGCAGATGAAAAATATTAAAAATCCTTCGTCACAATTTTTTTTTATAAGCATTTAAAGTTCAAAAATTGACAAAATATGGAAAAATCACGAAAATTAGCAAATTATTTTGAGTTAAGAATTCGTAAAAATTTTTCTTTTTAAATCTAAGATTTGAAAATGAAACACAAGATTCCTTATAAGATTATCTACCTTTATCAATAAAAAAATCTCTACCGGACAGTCAAATTAAATTTTTATGAGCGTTTGAAATTCAAATTTTTACAACATTGGATTTTCACTCGATTACTCATGTAGCGATTTCCTTATTTTGTTGCAATTCAAAAACGAACAACTGTAGATACATGAAAATTTCACTGAATGTTTAAATTAGCATTTTCTATACAATTTTGAAAATATTTTGACTCTTTTTGAGCTGTTTATGGCAGTGGCGTAACTTCAAAATTTGGGCCCGGGAGCGAAATTTTCAACGGGCCCCCCCATCGTCCAGGTACCTATATATATTAAGAAGATCCGAGGGAGTGTATTCACCTTACTAAAATAATTAAAAAAATTTTTTTTAAATAATAGATATTAATTTAATACTTCATATTATATACATACAAAAAAAATTAGTAAACAGTTATAGCAGTTGTAATAAATAACAATTAACTCAAAACTTAAAACATTCTTCTGGACTTCTTATTTGCCAAAGTAGAAATAATATCTGATGTATTAATTTCTTTCGCAATTTTCTTTTCTATTGATATTATTGCCAAACTTGACAGACGAATTTGAGACATCGTACTTCGAAGATAGTTTTTAATTATTTTGAGTTTAGAAAAACTTCTTTCTGCGGTGGCCACCGTCACTGGTATTGTCAAAAAAAGAAAACAAGCTGTACATAAATCTGGAAAACTTGCTGCTATTAAATAATTGTCTACAATTATAAATTTTGCCAAGTCATGTACAGAATTTAATTTTGAAATTTGATTTTCAAACGAACGTTTAAATTGAATAATTTGGTTGACCAAATCTATTGTTAAATCATGTTCATAATTGTTTACCAAAGAGGTAGTTAAATGTTTAAGTTCATTTTCATTCATTGAACATATATTAATTGGTAATATTGAAGAAAAAAGTTTTATTACTTGGTTCATACCATTAAAACGGTGTTCGAGTTGTTTGATAATTATGTCCAGAGTACGATAATAAATTTGTGTTTTAAAATATTGTTCAGCATCATGGAGACGTTCATCGTTACTTAATTCATCAAAAAATTTAGTTGTTTTTGTTTTTCTTATTTTAGTGAACGTTGGCTCAACTCCCCACGAAATTGCTATTTGTTTAGCTTCCTCAAACACTTCTTCAAATTTATTACGCATTTCTTTTATTTTATTTAAGGCTGTTTGAAGCAGTTCAAAAGCTTTAAGTAAGTCTATATCCGATTTTTGTAGCAATAGTGATACAATTTGTAATGAGTTGAGAATTTTGGATTCGATGACAATTATTAAAATTACATCAAACTTTTGAAAATAGTTTTGAAGACCTGAGGCTTTACTTTTTTCATCTTTATTTCTACCCATAAGTGAAATATATGCTAAAAGTTTTAAAATATCTACGTAAAGCAAACTAAGCGCTTTTAAACAATCATTTCGTGAAGACCATCGAGTAGTACATAGTCTTTTGAGTGAAACAGACACAGAACTCACTGATTTTAAGTGTGCCCACCTTTTAATACTATTTGCAAAATATGAATAAAGGCATTCAAGTTTTTCATAAAAATTTTGAATTTCAGTAATATTTTTAACCGAGTCATTAATTACAAGATTTAAATTGTGAGCGGCGCAATGCACGTATAATGCAAGTGGCTGAGTGTGTTTGATACGTGCTTGTAATCCACTATAAACACCACTCATGTTAGCAGCTCCATCAAATCCAATCCCTCTTAACTTTTTAATATCAATTTTATTTTTTTCAAAATTATTGTATAGTTGCTGTTCCATTTCACTACTCGTTTGGCCCTCCATAATTTCAAATCCAATGAAACTTTCATGTATAACTATGTCAACTGGTTTATTTTCTTTATCATACATCACATTTACATAACGAAATATATGGCTTTGTTGATCAATTTTGGATATGTCTTGTGTTGAGTCAGTAATATAGCTGAAAAATGGAGCTTTTCTTATTTCTAGTAAAATATCATATTTAACTTTATCTCCTAGTGCTGTAATTATTTCATTCTGAATTGCCGGACTTAAATATTTTATGGTTCCTTTAGGTCTTTGGAGTAATTCTGTAAGTACCGGGTCGTATTTACCTAACAATTCGATTATCGCTAAAAATTTACCTTTGCTTTCTGTCTCATTATTTTCTCGGTGGCCACGAAATGGAATATCTTCAGTTGCGAGTGTTAACGTTGTAGCTATAATTCTATCCAATACCAGTTTCCAATAATTTGCTTCATCTCTGATTTGCTTTTCTTGATTTTCGTTTACTGTGTTATGATTTTGAAATGAATAAAAAGCCATGCATGCCATTTTATGAGGTATAGATTTTTCATGTCTTTCAATTCCTCGTGATGTATGGGCCCAATCGTTAAATCCTCGTATCCATTCTTGGTGCTTAATATTATTGTCTCCAAAAAGCCAACAAGGTTGACAGTAACATTTATGGAGCTCCGGTGAATAACAAAGCCACGATCGTGAAATACGCAGTCCAGCTTTTGATACGGTGTAATAAAATGATTCGTCAAAACATCGTCCAACCGCATTACGACTGAAAGGACCACTTGGTCTACAAGGACCATGTTCAACAATAAATTGTTTATCTTCTACACTCAGATGTCTCAGAACTGAATTTTGTATATAATTAGCTATATCAGTAGGATACTGTTTTGTGCAAATGATCGTCATATTTTTACTTAACAATATATCACAATCATCAGTATTGTTCATATTTTGACAAATATCGATAACGTTATTTTTTTCGGAGTTTTCATGTGGTATTTCAAAAACAGATGTAGTTATAGTAGGATTTTCCGAAGTAGATTCAACTGTATTTTTTAAAAAACTGTCTAATTTGGGCAGTTTAGCATCTTTCAATTTTTGTTCTATTTTTTTTTTGCGCTTTTGTGCTCCACTCATAGGTTTACTCATTTTAAAATATAAATTTTAAAAAAATAGAACAAATGAATACGCGTAAACGAACGATAACGAACAATAACGGCTACACGAAAATAAAATCGAAATATACGCGATTGTCATCGACTGACCGACCGACTACTACAAACTTTACGAACAAACTAACAAATAAAGATTTCAAATAATATCAAAACGATAAACGGATAACGTAATCGTAATGATTAATGACAGACGGTCGATTGATAGCCGGTCTATTAATAAATATATGTTAGGAATAAAACCCAACTTTTAACAGTAATGATAATGACTCATGAACATGACGTAAAACGTTAATATAATAATGTTCATACCCATACC